GGCAGATGACCCATCACTGTCTTCTAGGAGGAGGTCTCATTTTGCCAGTTCTGTGGCAGTGGACTGAGAGGTGGGGTGCCCCTGTTCCCAAGCTCCTGATGGAAAAACAAATTTTCCCTTTGTAAATTGACAGCTGAAGTATTTTTTCATTATACTTCTAAAGAGTTGCAAAGGATATCCGTACCAACCTATTCTGTTTATTGCATATATGTTTTAACTATATTTTGAGCAAAATCTAAGTTGCAGATTTAGTTTGTTGGTTTATAAAAATTGTCTGGCCAAGCACCTAATTGGCTAACTTGAGCCTTAGGCCTTACTGTCGAATCCAGAAGTCTTTTTTTTTTTTGGTATCAGACATTAAACCCACGGAACTCTATCACTGAGCCATTTTAATTTCTTACATTGAGGTGGGGTCTTGCTAACTTTCTCAGGATGGTCTCTAACTTGCAATTCTCCTGCCTCAGCCTCCTGAGTAGCTGGGATTATAGGCATGTGCCACTCTAACCTGCTTTGACTTCTTCTTCTTCTTCTTCTTTTTTTTTTTTTAAAGAAAGTTTTATTGAGGTATTATTTTATGTATCATAAAACAGACTCATTTTTAACTTACTGTGCTTGCACTGAATACAGGTTCTTCATCACATATATGATTTACAGATATTTTCTTAATTGTATCTTTTGAAACACAGAGTATTGAAATTTTGATGAATTTTTACTTGTTGATTTTTTAAATGTTTGTTTTTGTTGCCAATAGAAGAAATCTTCCCAACCCTAGGCTATGAATATTTATTCCAGTGGTTTCTTCTGAGAGGTTTGACTTGCTCATTTAGATCTATGATTTATTTATTTATTTTTGTAGTACTGGGAATAGAACCCAGGGGTGACGCTGAGCCACATCCCCTGCTGTTTTCTTTTAAAAATGTGGAGACAGGGTCTTGCTAAGTTGCTGAGGCTGAACTCAGACTTTGTGATCTTCTTGCCTCAGCCTCCCGAGTCTCTGGGATCACAGGCACAGGCCACTGTGGCCCGGTGCTAAGATGCATTTTGGGTTGGTTTTTGTGTAGGGTGTGATCTTACTTGTAGCTGAAACAGACTTGTTAGCGTCCATCCCCATGAAGAATGCTCCAGTCTTCCAGGTGAATGGACCTTCATGCCATGGGCACTGGGTGACATAAGGCTCTGTTCCCAGCGGTATTTTTGCTGAACATCTTTGCTTTACTCTGCCTTCTCCACTTTCTTTCATCTTGTTCTGAGGTTGTATAGCCAGGGCAGGTTCTGAGCAGTGAGAGGCGGGTCTTTCTTTTGTACAGTGGGGTGAGGAGAAGGAGGTCGCAGGCCCTTTCTCAGCCTGGTGGCGTGGCTGGGTTTGGACCAGCCCTGATGGAAGCAGAAGGTCTGCATTGATTGTCGTCTCAAGAGGTGTGCTCCTGAACCCCACAGAAGGTCTTCCCACCCTGAGGTCTGCGTGCCTGCAGATCAAAACCAGGCTCAGGTATCCCTGTTTCCAGGCACTGATTTCCCTCAGGTACCTCTGTGTTCCTTCATCTCTCCCCAAAACAACCTTGCACATGACCTTTTGTTTTGCTACCTAAATCTGTATTCATTCATTTGTTTGTTCATTCATTCAACCACAAATGTTTAATGCCTGCTATGTGCCAGGTGCTGCATTTGGCACTTAGATGTTATGGCAAGCAAAGAAATAGGTCATTTCTCCCTTCCTGGAGCATTCAGTCCAGTGGAAGAGATAATGTTAATTAAATAGTCACATGGACAAATGTTAATTAAATAGTCACATGGACAAATGGAAAATTTTTGGTACATAAAACTCGTGTAACATGAACTCTCAGAAGAGAAACTGCCCTGAATTGTTGGGAGGGTTGGGAAGGCCTTTCTGAGCAGATGAGACTTAGCTGAGTTGAAGGAAGGGCAATGAGGCATGGGTGGAGGGTGGTGCATGGTAGACATTTCTGGTAGAGGTGTCAGCATGTGCAAAGGCCCTGAGCTGGCTCCAGAGTTCCCAGGAGCTACCAGGTTAATGGAGTGAGCTGACAGTTAAGAAATGGGTGCTCTTCTTAGGCCTGAAGGACTTAAAAAAAAAAAGGCTTTCACTTATATTCTTCATTACAGATTTTTAAACCTCAGACCAAAAATTTAAGTTAAGAAAATAGAGCTGTAAGTCTTTGTGACCTTGGATTAGACAGTGTTTTCTTATATATGACACCAAAATCATAAGGAGCCAAAGAAAAAGTAGATAAACTGAATTTCATCAAAATTTTAAAAATTATGCTTCCAAGGGCACTATCAAGAAAGTGAAAAAGCAATCCAAAGAATGTGAAACGATATTTACTTGTAAATATTATATCTAAAAAGAGTCTAGCCTCCAGAATATAAGGAATTCTTAAAACTTAACAACCAAAAGAAAACAGCCCTAGTTAAAAATGGACAAAAGCAGGGCTCCCTGGTGCATACTTGTAATCCTAGATTCTCTGGAGGCTGGGGCAGGAGGATTGCAAGTTTAAGGCTGGCCTGGGCAACTTAGTGAGGCCCTAAGCAACTTAGCAAGACCCTGTCTCAAAATAAAAAAGTAAAAAGGGCTGTGGATGTGGCAAAACACCCCTGAGTTAAATCCCTGGTAGTAAAAAAAAAAATAACAAAAGATTTGAGTAGACATTTCTCTATGCAAATGGTCAATAAGCACAAGAAAAGATGACCAACATTATCAGTGGCTAGAGAAATTCACATCAAAACCACAGTGAGATACCACTTCACACCTGCTGGGGTTGTAATAATGATAATAATAATGATAATGATAATATGAGCTTGCATAACAATATACTGCATGCTGGATAGCTTTTAAACAACAAACATCTATTTTCCTCCGTACTGAAGGCTGGGAAGTCCGAGAACAAGGTACCAGCACACACACACATTGTCTGGAGAGGGCCTGATTTCCTGGTTCATAGATGGTACCTTTCCACTGTGTCATCCCATGGTAAAGGGGCTACTGGTTCTCTGGGGTCTCTTTAGGGAACTAATCCCAATCATCTCCCAAAGACCTACCTCTCAGCACCATCACCTTGGGGGTTAGTTTTCAACATATGAATTTTGTAGCAGCACAAAGCATTTGCTGATAGTAATGATAAAACAGAGAGAATGGCAGTATTGCTGAAGATGTAGAGGGTCTGGGGTTGCAGCTCAGTGCTAGAATGTCTATCATATGTGAGGCACTGGTTCAATCCTCCGCAGCACATAAAAATAAATAAGTAAATAAAATAAAGATCCATTGACCACTAAAAAATATTTTTAAAAAGATGTGGATAAACTGGTATTCTTATATTGCTAGTGCGAATGTAAAATGGTACAGCCCCTGTGAAAAACACTCTGGTACTTTCTCAGAAAGTCAAACATACAGTTATTACATGACCCAGGATTCTTCTGAATGTACACCCCAAAAAAGTGAAAATTCATGTTCACCCAAAGAATTGTGCTACAGCCAGGCATGGTGGTGCATGCCTGTAATCCCAGCAGCTCAGGAGGCTGAGGCAGCAGGATCATGAGTTCAAAGCCAGCCTCAGCAACTTAGCGAGGACCCAAGCAACCTAGCAAGACCCTGTCTGAAAATTAAAAAAATAAAAAGGAGTGGGGATGTGGCTCAGTGGTAACGCACCTGGTTAAATCCCTAGCACCAAAAAGAAAGAAAGAAAGAAAGAATTGTCCTGCAAGTGTTCCCAACAGCTTTTATTCATAATAGCAAAAGAGGAAACAACCAAATGACCCCAGTTGGTGAGTGGATGGACAGAGTGTGCATAGCCATGTAGTGGAGTATTAGCCTTTCCAAGGAAGACAGATTTTGTGCTGTAGATTTTGAATGTTCCCTGAAGGCCCAGGCGCTGATTGGTCCCTAACCCGTGGCACTGTTGGGAGGTTGTGGAACCCTTGGGACTTGCAGCCTAGCAGTTATTGGGGGCGTGTCCCTAAAAGTTTTATTGGAAGCCCCGCATTTCCCGTTTCTCTGAAACCTGACCACCAGGAGGTGAAGCGACCTCTTCCATCCTGTGCTCCTGCCATGATGGACTAGCACTGCTGAAACCATAAGCCAAATAAACCTTTCTTCAAGTTGAGTGTCTCAGGTGTTGTGTCACATTAATGGGAGGCTGACGAACACAGCCCCGACGTGGACGAGCTTGATGTGCTAAACAGAAGAAGCAGACCCACGAGAGGACGTTTGGTGTATTCCACTTACACGACACGTCCAGAGTAGACAAGTGCCTGACCCTGAAGGTAGATCAAGGAGATCAAGGGTGGTCAGAGGCTGAGTGTGATTGTTACTAGTTTGTTTGTTTTGTGTTTTTTTTTTTTTGGGGGGGGGGGTGTGATTGCACAACTTCACGAATGTACTAAAGAGCACATACCATAAAATTTACCTTTTAAAAGTGAGTTGTAGCTCAATAAAAAATGCTCCTTAACTTAGTGTTTCGTTTTCCTCCACTTTATTGTTTCTACCTTTTAGTCTTAAAGATCTCAGCATCTTTCAGGAGGTTGGTTAATAAATCAATTCATTAAGCCAAAAAGCTGGCCCCAGATACCAGCAATTTTGGCTTTTTCTGTCTCCTTTATTTAGTGGCAGAGATGCCAGACGTATGGTGCTGCTAAAGGAAGGGACAGGTATCAAAGGGGAACTGAAATCAGTCGAGTAAAACCCATGTTTTTTAAAAAGTGTGTCATTATTTGTTGTTGTGTTGGGGTTCAGGCCTCGTGCATGCTAGGTGAGCACTCTGCCACTGAGCTACACCCTAGGGTGCTTTTTAGTCTTTAATTTACATGTTTTTTTAGTTCCTCCTTACCTCTTTTCCAATCCTTGTGACATCCTGCCCCTGTTTCCTTGATCTTCCTTAAATTCTCCACCCGTCCTTGGTACTAGGGATTGAACCCAGGGGCACTGTACCACTGAGCTACATCCCAGCACTTTTTAAAAATTATTATTTTAAAACAGTCTTGGGGCTGGGGATGTGGCTCAGTTGGTAAAGTGTTTGCCTGGCATGCATAAGGCCCTGGGTTCCATCCCCAGCACCCCCCCCCCCCACACAAAAAAAAACCAAAAAAAGACAGGGTCTCACTGAGTTACTGAGGCTGGTGTTGAACTTGCTGAACTTTTGATCCTCTCGCCTCAGCCTCCTGAGTTGCTGGGATTACAGGTGTGCACCACCACACCCACACCCAGCCCTTCAATGGTTTTCTTGACTTAAACTTTTTCTTTTTCCTTTTCTCATGGTGCTGAGAATTGAACCAGGCTCATGCATGCTAGGCAAGTGCTCTATGACAGAGCCACATCCTCAGTGCTAGACCCCTGTGCCCAGGAGAGAACTAGAGCTGGCAGGGTGTCTCTTGGTTGTGTGTTTGCTTGTCAATTGGCTATAATGGGATAGGAGACGGGGTTGGAAGCAAGCATTGCTGCTTGTAAAGCTTCCCAGAGCTGCTGATACGGAGAAAATGGTTTTCTAATTTAATCCTAAAAAATATTGTTTCCCTAGGACATCAGATGTCTTCACTGGCCAGGCTCCATAGAAGACAATATGGAAGACAGTCCGTAGCTAAAAGGTAAAGCAAAATATTCTTTAAATGTATGTCTTGGTTTTTAGGTGAAGACACACATGTACATATCAAAATTTAATTTGGGCAATTGTTGCTGATTTCATTTTTAGTTTGTATAATTAGAAAACTGACATCTTTAATTCTTTCCTGATGGCATAAGTAACACACATTTTAAAAGAACTTTCCATTTTGGAATAAGTGTAGACTCAAAAGAGGTGGCAACACTGAATGGGTGATAGAAAACAGCGCATTATTCTCTCTCTGCACCTGTCCTAAACTTTTGCCAGGGTTAACAGTTTGATTTTGGGGTTTTGTTTTTGTTTTAGAGTACTAGGGATGGAACACAGGGCCTCATGCACACGAGGCAAGAGCTCTACCACTGAGCTACATCCCCAACCCTTGGTGTATTTGTTTTAAAAGTTTTATTATATTGTTGGTAAATTTGTAGACGAATCATCCATTCTCCTATTTGAAGAGAGTTTGCACGCCTCATTTCTTATGAATGCGCATTAACACTCACCTCTTGCAAATGCCAAAGTAGATACCATCAAATATTTTTAGATTGTTTTTATACATTATTTACAAGCTCTGTGGTCCTCACTCAGAACTTAATTGCTCCCAAAGAACCTAAGCTGGCCCACCACCCCACTGGGGCATGCTTCTCAAACTTTAGGATGACCAAGAAACACCTGGGAAGAGATTCTTAAAAGTGCAATTCTCTGCTGGGCGTGGTGGCACATGCCTGTCTTCCCAGCAACTTGGGAGGCTGAGGTAGGAGGATTGAGAATTCAAAGTCAGCCTCAACAAAAGTGAGGCGCTACGCAACTCAGACTCCGTCTCTAAAGAAATACAAAATAGGATTCCACCTCTTGGGTCCCCTTCTTCCTCCGGGAGAAGTCTTTTCTGCTGTCCTTTAATAAACTTCTAATTTCTACTAAAAAAAAAAAAAAAAAAAAAAGAAATACAAAATAGGGCTGGGGATGTGGCTCAGTGGTTGAGTCCTCTTGAGTTCAATCCCTGGTACCCCCATCACCTGCTGAAGTTCAATTTCCTGAGCCCCAGCCCTGCTGTTTTTAAAGGCCTGAGGCCCAGGGACCTGCATTTTTAATCAACATAGCTCAGGTGACTCGTGTTATAAGTCTTGGAACCATTTTAAAAATCCTGCAGCATCAAATTGCTGGTGCCAGCTCTCTGGGAAACCTTGCGCCCTGCTAAGCACAGCTGCAGGTGCTTGGGATATTGGGCTGGTTGTTCCTGGTAGCAGTCAGGTTACTTGTAATAAAAGCCAGTCTGGGTAGGTGCTGCTATCGATCTGGAGACACATATTGGACTCTCAGACTGGCCCCCATTACATTCCTGGTGTTTAGCTGGTTGTCTGCCTGGCTCAGAGCAGGTACCCTTGTTGGTGTTGAGCAAGAGAACAAATGTTTATTTACGCGCACACACACACACACACACACACAGATACACACAGCAGTCATCTTTGCTATAACCTAATAAAAAAGGAGAGTAGGAAATAAACTGCAAAACTTGTCTATAGAAGCCTTCAAAACCATAGGCATTTGGACCATACATTAGTTTTCTGCTACTGTAATAATAAATTTTCACAGACTTAATAGCTTAAAAGAACACAAATTTATCACCTTATAGTTCTGTGAGTCTCACTAGGCTTAAATTGAGGTGTAAACAGCTGCATTCCCTCCTGGAGGGGCCGTGGGAGAGAACCCCCCTCCTTCCTCCTTCAGCTCTTTGGCAGAGTTGGCTTCCTGGTGGGTGTAGGACTGAGGTCTCCATGTCTTTGCCAGCTGTCCTCTGTGGATTGTTCTACCTGCTACTTACATTCCTTGGCTTGCAGCCCCCTTCTTCCATCTTTAAAGCCACCAATGGGATGTTCGTCTCACACTTCAGAATCCCCTCCTCCTCTAGCTCATCTCTTTGATTGCAGCCTGGTGTGATTAGGTCCACCCTGATATCCAGGACCGTCCCTCCATCTCAACGTCCATAACCTTCATGAGACCTCTAGTCCCTTTGCCAGGTACGTTAACAAATTCACGGACCTGGGGATTCAGGTGTGGACATCCTGCTGGCTCAGTCTCATAAGGGGGTAAAAATACAGAATATATATTTGTAAACATGTATGTACAGTTTTCCCATTTGTTGAAGAAAACTGTCCTTTTCCCATTGACTTGTCTTGACACCTTATCAAAAATCACTTGACCACAGACGTAGGAGTGTACTTCTGGGCTCTGCATTCTGGGCTCTTGTTTTATATATCTGCCTTTATATAAATCTTTATTTAGTCAGTGCCATGCTATTTTGATTGTTGTTCTTTTCTGCATCAACTAAGATGATCATGTGGATTTTTTTGTTCATACTTTTATGATGATGCATTACATTGATTGATTTTCATTTATTAAACCATCTTTGTATTTCAGGAATGAAGGCCTCTTGATTAAGGTGCAGAATTGTTTTAATGAGCTGCTCAATTCTGTTTCCTAATATTTTGTTGAAGATATTAATATATTCATATTGAAGATATTCAATATTCATAGGGCAGATTGGTCTATAATTTTCTTATCGTGTTTTTTTCTGGCTTTAGTGTCAGGATAACTCTGGTCTCATGGAATGAACTGGGAAGTGTTCAGCTTTTGAAAGAGCCTGGGAAAGATTCTTGTTAGCTTTTCTTTAAATGTTTGGTAGAATTCACCAGCAAAGCCATCTGCTCATGGGCTGTTCTTTTTTTGGGAATTTTTCAATTATTGATCCAATCATCTTGCTAGTTTGGAATTTATTCAGTCTTTTTATTTCTCTATGATTCAGTCTTGGTAGTTTGAATTCCAGAATTCGTATGATCTTGGTAGGGCAGAATCTAGGAATTTGTCCATTTTGTGTAGATCAGCCTTTTTTTTGGTTTTTATTTTTTCCTTATTCCAGAGATTGAACTCAGGGGTGATTTACCACTGAACCACATCCCCAGGCCTTTTTACTTTTAATTTTTAAAATATTTTTTTTAGTTGTGGATGAATCTTTATTTATTTGTTTATATGCATTGCTGAGGATCAAACCCAGGGCCTCACACATGCTAGGCAAGTGCCCTACCACTGAGCCACAACCCCAGCCCCTTATTTTTTATTTTGAGACAGGGTCTTGCTAAGTTGCTTGGGGCCTAACTATATTGCTGAGGCCGGCTTTGAACTTTCGATCCTCCTGCCTCACTCTTCTGAGCCATAGGCATTAAAGACCATGTGCCACTGTGCCTGGCTGGTCATCCAGTTTTTTTTTGATATACAGTTGTTCAAAGCACTACCTTATAATTCTTTTTACTTCTGCAAGATTTGTATTCATTGTCTCTTTTTCATATCTAATTTTAGTTACTTGTGTAATCTCTGTTTTTTCCTTTGTCTGCCTAGCTGAAGCTTTGTCAATTAGATTAGTTAGATCTTTTTGAAGAACTACCTCTTGGTTTGATGATGTTTTTCGATGCTTTGATTTATTTATTGCCTATTACATCTTTATGATTTCTTTACTTCTGTTATTTTTAGATTTTGTTTGTTTTTCTTTTTCTAGTTTTCTCAGGTGTGAACTGAGGTTGACTTCAGATCTTTCTTTTCTTGTGTAAACATTTCCAGCTCTAAGTTTTCCTTTACCATTGTTTTTACTGCATCTCCTAAGTGTTGATAAGTGCTGTATTTATTTTATTCTGTCTCAAGATATTTTCTAATTGCCCTTATGATTTTTCTCTTTAGCTTCTTGTTTAAGAGTGCGTTATTTAATTTCTACATACTTGTGGGTTTTCTTTCTACTATTGATTTCTAGTTTCATTCTATTGTAATCATCAAAGACAATTTATGTGATTTCAGTGTTTTAAACTGTTTTAAAAAAATAATAAAATGTTCTAAAATTTGTCTGTGGGCCTGGATGTGGTCTACCTCAGAGAGTGTTCAATGAGCATTTGAAATATGTGTGTTTTGCTGTTGGTGGGTACGCTGTTCTGCAGTGGTTGAGGTAAGAAAGCCCTCTTAATCTAGAGTCCCCTAAATTTTTTTGTTTTTAAAATATCTTGTTTTAAAGTACTGGACAGAATAACCCCCACATTTGAAAAATGTCACCCACACAGCAGGGTGGGGCAAGTCATAATTCATTGAGTTGAAGGATGCTTCATAATCTGTTTATTCTTCTATTATTTATCAGTTGGCCTACTTCTTAATACCCTTTATCGATTCTCTAGTTTTTCTGAAATATAGTTCCAATTTGAAAGATAAAACATTTATCTTTAATTTTTTTAAGTTATAGATGAACACAATATTTTTCTTTAAATTTATTTTTATGTGGTGCTGAGGATTGAGGAAGGGTTTTTAAAAAAATATTTTCGTTGTAGATGGACACAATACCTTTATTTTATTTATTTATGTGGTGTTGAGGTTCGAACCCAGTGCCTCACATGTAGCTCTACCACTGAGCTACAACTCCAGCTCAAGGGAGGG